GGTTTGGCTCAGTGGATAGAGCGTCGGCCTGCGGACTGAAAGGACCCGGGTTCGATTCCAGTCAAGGGCATGTACCTTGGTTGCGGGCACATTCCCAGTAGGTTGGTGTGCAGGAGGCAGCCGGTCGATGTTTCTCTCTCACCGATGTTTCTAACTCTCTATCCCTCTCTCTTCCTCTCTGTAAAAAAATCAATAAATTATATTAAAAAAAAGAAAAAAAAAAAGAAAGAAAAGAGGGGACCTGGGCTCTGAGGGCTCTGCTCCTTTCGGGGGAGTCCCAGGGCCCCGGAGGCGGGGCCCCTGCCCTCAGAGCTGGAGGTCCGGGTGCCGGCGGTGAGCCACCCGGTCACTGCAGAGCCACCGCCCAGCCTGACCCTGCGCTGGCCCAGGGCAGGCACCGGGCGGTGGTGGGAACGCCGGCCCCAGCCGGTGGGGGAGGGAGGGACGCCATGGCTGGGGGCTGTGCGCTGTATCCTAGATCAGCAGGGACCTGAGACCGAGGCACTTGGACGAGCCTCACAGGGAATCTGGAGCGCCCCACACGCCGGACGTGGAGGAGGCTGTGTCTGCCCGGCGGTGGGAGCCTGGGCGCGTTCCTCGCTGGGGGAGGGCGGCCAGGATGCTCCTCTGGCCTGGGGGAAGCCTGGGAAGTGGGAGAACCGGAGGAGGCCTGGTGTTTACAGCTCTGAGCCCCCTCCCCAGGGGCAGGGGGGGTCTGAGCACCATGGAGAGCACCCCCAGAGCCTGTGGGCCTGTGGGCCTCCAGGCCCGGGCAGCTTTCCAGGGATCCCCCGCCACCCAACCTCCTACTCTCTGGGGAGGTGCCCGCCTGGGGCCTGGGAGGCAGCTGGCATCGGCTGAACCCTGCAATTAGCAGCGGAGGAGGCTGGGTGGTGGTGATGGTGGCAGAGAGTGCGGGGGGGGGGGGCGGGGGGAGAGAGGGTGGGCTGGCAGCTACAGCTGGTGCTGCCTCAGCCTGGGGGTGGGGCTCACTCTCTGCCCCAGAGCAGAGGGGTGCCAGAGACGCGGTGGGCGCCCAGGCCCAGGGCACTGAGGCCTTGGGCAGGACGCAGAGCACAGGGAGAGCCAGAGAAATAACACTGACAGGAAGGCCATGCGATTGGATGTGGGTCTGGACAAGCCCGTCGCTTCTGTCCCCATTTTACAGATCAGGAAACAAAGGCCCAGGGAGGCAGGGGCTTGCTAGAAAGCACACGGCTAATCCGGAAGCAGCTGGGCCTAGAAGCCAGGCTTGGCGGCAGGGCTGGGGAGCAAGGGGCTCGCTCTGGGGTACGGATTTGAGGCAGGGAGCCCCAGGGTCTGCCCGGTAGGGTGGTCGGGCTGGGCAAACACCACCTTAGCTGGAGAGCGGGGAAGGACGAGCCTTCAGAGCGGATCCCAGGGCCCTGAGCTTCGGGCTGCAGGATGCGGGGGACGGGGGGAGGGGCGGGATCTGGCCCAGCCGGTTCTCCAGCCTGTCCAGGCACCTGAGTTGGCGGAGGCGGGACACGGCTGCCCCCGGGCTACCTACCCTGGCTTTCTTGGAAGCTTAGCTGACCAGCAGAAGGACCCGACAGAACCAGTCCTGCAGGTATTGCAGAGGGACTGGGCTGGGAGCGGGGAGTTCGGGGTGGGGGATGGGGGTGGTTCTGGCTTTAACCTTCTACCATCCCATCCGTCCCATCCATCCATCCGTCCGTCCATCCGTCCGTCCGTCCATCCATCCATCCATCCATCCCATCCATCCATCCATCCTTTCCTTTTTTTTTTTTTTTTTTTTTTTTCAGAGAGGAAGGGAGAGAGGAGAGAGATAGAAACATCGATGAGAGAGAAACATCGGTCAGCTGCCTTCTGCATACCCCCCACTGGGGATGTGCCCGCAACCAAGGTACATGCCCTTGACCGGAATCAAACCTGGGACCTTTCAGTCCTCAGGCCGACGCTCTATCCACTGAGCCACACCCATTTTGGCCTTTCCTTCCTTTTAGGATGCCCACTGGGCCCAGGGCACCGTGCTGGCTGCCGGGAGGGTTTTTCTGCCCCGTAGGCCAGAGCGTCCGGTGGGCCAGAGAAGCAGGCAAATGACAGCCCACCGATGCTCTCAGAAGGAACTGAGCTTCGAAGGGCTGGTGGGACTCCGTGGGGGAGGGGCCAGCAGGCTGGCTGAGAGGAAGTTCATCTGCCTGCAGGGCGCTGGAGGGGGGCAGGAGTGGCACCCCATGGGGCCTGGCCGTGGGGAGTGTGGGTCTGGCCTGGAATGGGGGTGTCCCCCCTCACCAGCTGCGCGGCCTGGGGACAGCCACTCGCTCCTCTGAGCCTCTGCATCCTCGGTGGGCAGTGAGAGGACGGGAGTGCCCGCCTCATGGGTAGGGAAGCCCATGGCATGGCTCGGGGCGTGAGCGGCCCTCCCTGAGGTGATGAGGAACCTGCCGGAGCTCCGAGGTCACGAGGAAACACACCCACAGGCCTCCGGGGCCCAGGCAGTCCCAGACGTGGGGTGGATTAGGGCGAGGCTGCAGAGCATGGCAGACTGCTGCCCACCGGGTAACCGTGCCCGGTGCGGGGGCACCGGCTCTCAGCCCAGCAGCTGTGTCCGTGCGGGCGTGGGAGCTCAGAGCCATCCAAGCTGCTGACTTCTCAGGAGAGAAAAACCTCTATGTTTATGAGAAAATGCTCATTACTGATATCAGCAATGCATTCGTTTCTACAGCATCGTGGGAGCCGGAGCGGACACCTCGGCTGGCAGATGCTGCTGCCGCCACCACCACCACCAGGACCACCACCATGACCACCACCAGCACCACCACCACCGAGACAGGGACCGGAGCAGGGAGGGAGCTGGGCATCCAGGCCCGGACAATCTCGCAGCCCTTTGTCTGTGGCTGCCACCCCCAGTCTTGGGTTTCCCTGGTAGAAAGGAGGGAGCGGGCAGACCCCCTCCTCACGGACATTCTCGGGAGCGCCCCGCCCACCAGCAGGGGCTGGAATGGGGCCCCTGCTCCACGCTATCTCGCCGGAGGTGCCAGGGAGTCTGGGGGAGCCGCCCCGCTGGTCTGCTCTGTGTCTGGGAATGGCATGTCTGCCCCGGGCCTGGGGGAGGCCGCTCTCAGGGCTGCTGTCAGGGAGGGCCTGGTTCCCAGCTCCCAGGGGTCAAAGGGCAGCATTGTCAGCCTCTTCTGGGGGCCTACTTCCTGTTGGGGAGAGACAAACAGAAAGACCCCTGGCAGGAAATGGTCTTCTTCCTGCAGCCCCTTTTCCAATGGGGCTGGGGAAAGATGCACTGGGGGGGGGGGGGGGGGGCGGGGATCCCTGTGGCTGGGTGTCCCCAACTCTATCCTCTCCCCTTGGAGCTCAGGAGGGGCCAGGGGCCTCCCTGTCATGACAGCAAACCCCACTTCACAGGCCCCGTCAGTTTAGGCCTGGCAATAGGCAAATATTCAATGCCTGGACTTATCACCCCCGGCTGGGCTCCCGGGCCTGCCTCTCCCCTCCCGTCAGCCCCTAAGGCTCATCATGGCTTCCCCTGGTTGTGACCTCAAGAAGAAAGTCCTGCCGGAACCGGTTTGGCTCCATGGATAGAGCATCGGCCTGCGGACTGAAGGGTTCTGGGTTCGATTCCAGTCAAGGGCATATGGCTTGGTTGCGGACACATCCCCAGTAGGGGGTGTGCAGGAGGCAGCTGGCTGATGTTTCTCTCTCATCGATGTTTCTAGCTCTCTATCCCTCTCCCTTCCCCTCTGTAAACAATCAATAAAATATATTTAAAAAAAAAAAAAAAAAAGAAGGAAGTCCTTGAATGCTGCTCCCCACCCCCAGCAGGGAGCCCAGCCTCCCCCTGCACAGGCCTGACACAGGGAACTCCCCCCTCCCGCAGGTGAGCACAATCCCCGCAGCCTCCTTGCGCAGAAACCAGGCCCTGGGGCTCACAGAAGGGTCTCATCACGGGCAGGTGTCTCCAATGCCACCCCAACTTGCAGAGGCTCAGCAATGTGTGCTGCCGTGTTAATAACAGCTCCCACCCGGTGTAATGTCAGCCTGTTGGTTACAGAGAGACTTAGGGACGAAGTATCCAAAATAGTAAAATTACCTATCATTTCACTGCCTAGAGCAGGGCTAGGGACGAGATAAAAGGGTTTCTTATTTATTGTTTACACTTGCCTCTGGGTAAACTGCCAGTCCCCTGAACCCCAGCCCTGGTGGCAGGGCCCAGCTGGCACACCCCTCCTCTTCGCGGCATGCCTCCGAGCACTTCAAGAACAACGCACCTTTCCTGAGCTCCCGACCAAGCCACCTGATTCTCAGGACGGCTCTGGGAGACACCTTGTTTACAGAGAGAGAAATGGAGGCTCAGAGAGCCCGAGCCACTTCCTGGAAGTTGCACAGCCAGCAAGGGGCAGAGCGGAGATTTGAGTCCATCGATGCCAGAATTTAAGTCTCCTCTTCTCCAGATTAACACGTGCACCATCCTGTCTCCTTCCCCTCCCAGGAGCTGGGTCCCAGACCATCCCGCAGCTCAGATGTTCATTCATTCATTCATTCTCACATTCATTCATTCACTTGATCTTTTTGAACTTCGGTTCAGTGCAAGTGTAGGCTGATGCTGCCTCAAGCTCAGGACTCCATCCAAGAACCTCAACTTGTTTATTACCAAAGAGACCGGGTTTACCACCTTGTAGTGTGAACAGCTCCCGCCCAGCCCCAAGGCTCAGAGAGGCAGCCTGGGCTGGGGACCCAATGGCCATCTCTTGACACCTCATCCCCCCTCCACGAGACTCCTGGTGGGGAGGGGGGGCCTGGATCAGGCCCGGGGGGGTGGGCGTGTATTGTGTTTATAGCACCGGGCACGTATATAAAAATATATCTATATATATAAACACAGGACGTTGGCAGGGGTGCTCCTGGGGTGAGGACGGGCAGCTGCATCAATGAGCGGCCGGTCAGCCCGAGCACCCAGGGGTGGGGGGCTGTGGCCGTGGGCGGGTCCCGCCAGCCCGGGCGCTCTAGGCCACCTGGATCTGCAGGTCCTCGTCCTCGTCCAGGTCGCTGGCTCCGTCCCCGGCCTCCTCGGGGCCAAAGCGGGCGCTGCTGCGGATCTTCCCGAAGAGGGGGGCGTTCTGCTGCTGCCGGCGGAGCCTGGGGGGGGACAGCGGGTCAGGGCGTGGGCCTCATGGGCCGGGCGGACAGCATCATCCCGCCGGCTGCCAGCCGCTGCCAGGCACCAGGTTGGGTCTTTACAAACATGACCTCATCGCAGGGGCTTCCCTCCCCTCCCCCCCAAGGACAGGAGGTGCTATTATTATCACCTCAATTTTACAGACAAAGAAACCAAGGTATGAGGCAGGTGGCAGGTGAGTCATGTGCCCGGAGTAATGTGGGCGGTGAGAGTGCGCTGGGGGCTTGGAGAGGTGAGCGGCTGCTCAAGGTCATGGTCACGCCGCTGGGAGTGCAACCCCAGCACGGCTCTAAGGACCACGGGGGATGGGGGTAGGGGGTAGGGGGTGGGGGTCTCAGCCTCCTCCATCCCCGTGTCTGTGAGAAAGTGCCCCGCCCCAGTTCCTCTCTAGTCAAAGTTCCAAAGCCAAACGCACCGGGCGCACTTGGGCCCGCCGCCCCTCCCCCGCGGAGCGGCCGCTGGCGGCCTGGCACAGGAAGCATGAATTATTGACGCGGCGGGCGGGGAGGGGCGCGCCGGGGGCTCCATTACCGCGCGGTGATTTAGTGCCCCATCCCCATCCCCGGAACATTAAAAGCTCAGAAAGTTGGAGGAGAACACGAGGCAGTGGTCCTGGGCAGCCGCCTGGCCCCCCCTTAACCCCCCCCATGGAAGCACTTGAGAGAGAGGCCGGGCAGTGCCCGCCCGTCCATTCCGGGAGTTTATGGCTCCCCAAGAATGTGGCCAAGGCAGCGAGAAAGCCCCGGGGCCAGGCGGCCTTTTATGGGGTGCGAGCTGGGGCGGGGGAGTGGGCAGAGCTGGGCAGAGCTGGGCAGACGCAGCCAGAGGGTCTTGGACTCGTGCCTGGGCCCCTGCCTGATGCTGCATAGGAACCATCCCAAGCAGAAGGGGAAACTGAGGCTCGGCTGGCCGTGTCACACGGCCGTTAGGTCTGGCTCCATTGCCTGTGCCCTTCCCGGAAGCACGAAGGATGCTCACAGCAGCACACAGTAGGTGCTTAGGAAATAAGGGCCCCCGAGGGCAGATGGAGGCGTGGCTGTGGAAAGACGGACCCTCTTGGGCCTTCGTTTCCTCATCTGCCAACCGCCTAGGAACTCGCCCTTCCCTCCTTCCCTCCTTCCAGGAGCACAGTTCTTGTAGCACCGTGTCTGACCCACTCAGAGCCCCCACCCTGGGGTGAGAGGAACAGAGCAGCTTTGATGAGGTGCCAGATACTTTTATAAACACATACCGGCTCCTTTAATTCTAACAACCGAGAGGTAAGAGCTGTTACCGCCCCCATTTTACAGACGGGGAGACGGACACAGAGAGGGTAAGTAAGTGCCCCAAGATCACACAGCGACGAAGGACCGAGCCCGGATTGCCACCACCCAGGCAGAGCCCAGGCTCCCTCTATTCCACGAAATAAGAGGACAGGAGGAAGAGCCTGCCCAGGGCCCAGCCCAGGGAGCTGGGTCCAGGGTTGTGGTGATGAGGCCCCTCAGGTAGGGGGCTTGTGAAGTGGGGAGGGGCTTGGACCTGATGCTCTCTGATATCTTACGGCTCTACAAGGGGTGTCAGAGAGAGGGTACAAGTCACTGGGTGCTGGATTGGGGGGGGAATGCAGAGTGTGCTGGTGGGTCCCCAGACCCTGGGGTCTGTCTGAGGACTCACTCGGGCCCACCATCAGGCTGGGGCTCCTCCAGTTCCTCTGATCCCAGCTGGCCTGGGGTCCACCCAGCCCAGGACCCTGACGGCTGTTTGTTTTTCTTGTCAATGGCTTCCCAGGCCCATGGGCCGTACCTATTACCCCACCTTGGCCTTGACCTGTTTGGCCACCTTTCCTGCTCTCCGGCTGCAGGAGACAATTCCAGGGTCCCAGCTGGTCTCGCTTCCTGCTCTCACTCCCCTCCCCTGGTTTCCTGGCCCCGGCCCTTCCTGCCAGAGAGGACAGGATTTTGGCCCCAGGGAGTCCTGCCCTCTTCCTTCTCCTCCTTCTTTATTTGAGCTCCGACCCTGTCCGGAGGAGGAGGAGGGGCGGGGGAGCGTTTCCTTTAGCTGGAAGTCTCTCTGCCCTGCTCCCGTGCCTCGGCCAGGAACCCTCTCCCGGATGGAGCCCCACCCCCCGGGGAGCACGTGGGGACCCACCTGGACTGCACATGCTCTAGCTGCACCTGCAGATTCTCGCTCTGCTCCGTCTGCTCGTCCAGCGACCGCTGCAGCTTCCGCGCCTGGTTGTGGGCCTCGTCCAGCTGCGGGGTGAGCAGGGCCGACAGCGTGGGGTCACCTGGCCCGGGCCAGCCTGGCCTGCCTCCTGCCATTCGCCCGCGGGACTGTCCTTCCCAGAGGGCAGGCCCTGTCTCCTCCGAGGCCTCAACCAAGGCCCGTCTCCTCCAGGGAAGCGTCCCCGGTGTTCCTCTCCATCCGCTGCCCCTCCTCCAACACCCCACGCTGCTGGCTCATCCATCAGCCCACCTACCCTCCTCCGTCTGTCCCCTGTGACCGTCCATCCATGGAAATATCCATCTGCTAGGAAGATACCCACCTACCCACGCCACCATTCATTCATCTGTTTAGCCACCCCTTCACCTTGCCTGCCCATATGTCCTTCCGTTCTCCCAGACAGACACACCCATGTCTCCATCTACCCATCCTTCTGTCCTTCTCTCCCTGGCCACTCATTCTTCCACCCACTGATCCAGTCAGTGGTCTATCCATCTTTCCACTGTCATCCATCTTTCCATATCCTCATCCATCATCCATCGACCACCACCCATCAGACATCTGGTGCCACCTCTCATCCATCCATCCATCCATCCATCCATCCTTCCTCCTGCCCCCCCACCCCCTCACTCTCCCATTCATCAGTCTACCCAGTCCCTCATCCATCTGTTCATCCACCCCTGGAGTGACCCTTCTGTCTTTCCATTTAACCACCCACAGCCTACCCACTCATCCATCCATTAATCTAGTCAACCTCTCATCAACCTCGCCTGTCCATTTTTCTTCCCACCCTCCTACCCACACACCGACCTACCGTCCATCCGTCACCCACCCGCCCTCCCTCCCTACCCTGTGCACATCCTGAGAGCCAGGCTCACGTCAGGCGCTGGGGACTCAGCGTGGAGGGCCACCCCGCCGTGGCTGAGGGCTGGGGGCCGCCCTCCGGCCTCGGCGGTGCTCACCTCATCCTCAGCCTGGGCCAGCTCCTTCTTGAGCTCCTCCACCCTCAGCCGCAGCTTCTTCACCTCCGCCTCGTGCTGCTCCACCCGCCGGTTGGCATGGGCCAGCTCGGCCACCTTCTCCTGGAACTGTTTCTTCAGCTTGCAGTGCACGTGCTTCAGGTCTGCCAGCTCCTGCAGGGAGCAGAGAGGGGAGGGGAGGGCTCAGGGTCCGAGGGCACCATGCCAGGCAGGCAGGTCTAGGGGTGTTGGTGCCCCCTCTCCCTGGAATCTCTCTGCCTGGTGTCACAAATACCAGCAGGAGAGGTTTGGCTGAACACCTGGAGGCTAGAGCAAGGTGACCAGATGTCCCGATGTTTAACAATTTGTCCCGCGGCGTTTTAAAAAAAGTCCCGATTTTTATCCAAAAGCGGGACATGGGGTCACCTTAGACTAGAGGTGACACCCCGTGAGGCGAGAAGGCCTAGGTGGGTGACTCAGTGGCTCCCTGTTGCACGTATAACTTTGAGGTGCCTCCTGGGAAGGACGTGGGGTGTCCGGCAGGCTACTGCCGCGGAGTCAGGGGTTTGGGGGAGGGATGAGGTCTGGAGTCTTTGGTGCAAACGTTTGTTGCATAAACAGAAGGGCTGTCGGGAGGATTAAGCGACATCATGGACCAAAAGCACTCAATAAGTGCAGGTACAGCCGAAACCGTTTGGCTCAGTGGATAGAGCATCGGCCTGCAGACTGAAGGGTCTCAGGTTCTATACAGATCAAGGGCATGCACCTTGGTTGCAGGCACATCCCTAGTGGGGGGGGGGGGGTTACAAGAGGCAGCTGGTCGATGATTCTCTCTCATCGATGTTTCTAACTCTCTATCCCTCTCTCTTCCTCTCTGTAAAAAAATCAATAAAATATATAAAAATAAATGAATAGATAAATGCAGGTACTGCCGAAACCAGTTTGACTCAGTGGACAGAGCGTTGGTCAGTGGACCGAAAGGTCCCAGGTTCGATTCTGGTCAAGGACATGCACCTTGGTTGCGGGCACATCCCCAGTGGGGGGTGTTGCAAGGGGCAGCTGATCGATGATTCTCTCTCTTTGATGTTTCTAACTCTCTATCCCTCTCTCTTCCTCTCTGTAAAAAAGTCAATAAGGCCGAAACCGGTTTGGCTCAATGGATAGAGCGTCGGCTTGGGGACTGAAGGGTCCCGGGTTCGATTCCGGTCAAGGGCATGTACCTTGGTTGCGGGCATATCTCCAGTAGGGGGTGTGCAAGAGGCAGCTGATCGATGACTCTCTCTCATCGATGTTTCTAACTCTCTATCTCTCTCCCTTCCTCTCTGTACAAAATCAATAAAATATATTTAAAAAAATAATAAAAAATAATAAAAAATAAAAAAGTCAATAAGAAAGAAAAGAAGAAAAAAAAAAATAAACAAATGCAGGTACTGACCCAGAACGGGCGCCCAGCAGGGGCAGCCTCTGCCTTTAGTTGTCACTTCTGGGGCCCCTGGGGGCTGATCCTGGACACACAGCGGGTGCTCTGCCCTGGCTGGATGGGGAGGCAGGGCCGCCCCAGTCCCGGCCGCGCCGCCCACTGCCCCACCTTGTTCTTCTCGAAGAGCGCAGCCTGGCTGGCCCGCAGGTCGCAGTCCAGGGCGCTGGCCGTCTGCCGCCGCCGGCGGGCCAGGGCGTCCTCCAGGTCCCCGACCTGCGCCCGCAGCTTCTTGTTCTCCCGCTCCAGGCCCAGCTTCTCCGTCTCCAGCCGCTCCCGGCGGCCCCACTCGGCCGCGTTCTCCGCCTGCAGCCGCTCCATCTGGAAGAGGGCGGGCGGGGCAGGGTGAGGGTCCCTGGGGAAGGGGCACGGAAGGGCCCGAGCTGGACTCTCTCCTCCTCGCTCCCCCCACTCCTCCTGGAGCCGTTTTTGGCTGCAGGAAGCAGGTCCAGCTGCACCGGCTATAATTAACCGGGCTGTTTCACGTGTGCAGGATGTGAGGGCGCTTTTGGTCTCTGTGTGGGAGAGGAACTGCCCCCCTGCAGATTGGGGGACCCCCCCTGGGGTGTGCCTGGACCCCTTAGAGCACAGGCTTCTTTCAAGAGCCCAGCGGACAGAGCCCGCCCCATGGCCCCCCAGCCCTCCCGGGACCCGCCGGACGCCCCACCTCGCCCCTCAGCTCAGCCATCTTCCTGTCCATGCTGGACCTCGCCCCCAGCTCGTCCTCCAGGTCCTCAGACATGCGGCCCAGCTCGTCCTGGTGCGCCTCCTTCAGGATGCTGAGCTGTGGAGACAGCCCGGCCTGGTTACGTGAACAGCACCCAGAACCAGCCCTGAGGGTGGGCACTGGGGAGGCATGCCCAGCCGAGAGGTGGGACCCACATGGGCCACCGGGTGTGCGGAATGGACCTTGAATCTGACCACTTGTGCTGCTTCCGACACCTCTCATTTCCCACCTCACTGCCACCTAGCCGCCCAGGGTTCACTCCTAGCCCCCCGTCAGCCCATTTTCCACAACAGTCGCCTAGCGTGAGCTATTAAAAAGATAAATACAGCTCTAACCGGTATGGCTCAGTGGATGGAGCATCGGCCTGCGGACTGAGTGGTCCCAGGTTCGATTCTGGTTAAGGGCATGTGCCTTGCTTGTGGGCACATCCCCAGTAGGGTGTGTGCAGGAGGCAGCTGATCCAAACATCTCTCACTGATGTTTCTAGCTCTCTCTCCCTCTCCCTTCTTCTCTGTAAAAAAAAATCAATAAAGTATATTTTTAAAAAACAAAAATAAATAAAAAGAGAAACACAATCATGTCCCCATCCCGGGTTCCTTAGGGTAAGGACTGACCCCTTTCACCTCCTTCCTCTTAGTCCATTGTGTGGCCTCCTTTCTAAGCCTCAAATACACCCTGTTCACCCCAGGGCCTTTGCACATGCGGCTCCCTCCCTCTGCCTCATACACTTCTTCTGAGGTATTTTGCAGCATGGACTCGTCTCATGCTCAGGCCTTGGCCTCAATGCCCCCTGCTCAGGGAGGCCTCTGCTGTCCTCCCCACCTGCCGGGGGTGCCTCCTCCACTTGCCACGACCCCCTCTCCCACAGAACGGGAGCTTGGGAGGACGGAGAGTTGTCTGTCCACCTCTGTACCCCTGTATGGCCTTGGCATCGGGGAGCCCTCCATGGACACTGGCTGAACACGGGTCTGCGTGTGATGGCAGGGATGGCCTTGCATGCATACGGTGAGGGAAAGAAGTCAGATACAAAAGCGAGCCTTTGTGAGCAATCCGTGAAGCTGCGCGTTCGTGTTGTATTCACTTTCTGCAAATGATCACACTTCCCAATTTAGGAAAATTGAAAAAAAAAAAAAAAAGACAGATTCCTAAACCCAAGTCCCAAAGACGATGACTCGGGAGGGCGAGGGTGGGTCTGGGAATCTATTTTAGGAGCGTCCCTAAGGCCGGCGTCCCAGGCTCCGAGGTCCGCGGTCTTCCCGCCTTCGGAGATGCAGCCGGTCCAGCCGGCTTTCCCGGGGTGGCTCTGCCCCCTGGTGGCCATATGGGGGCCTGCACAGGAGGCGGGAAGGGCTGCCTACACGCACTCCTGCCTGCTCTGGGTTCGCCACACTGTGGTGGGGAAGAGGAGTTCCCTTTCTGCTGGCAGGAGCCTCAGTGTCCGCACTTACGAAACGGGGACAGCCGCCCGACGGCCACGAGGGTTCAGTGAGACCTCGCACACAGTAGGCACTCCCTGAATGCACCGTCAGACGCCTCCCCTTCATCCTGGTCCTCAAAGCTCTCCTGGCAGCCTCGCCTCTCACTTACTAGAAGGTGACCAGACGTCCCGATTTTGGCGGGACAGTCCCGATTTTGAACAACTTGTCCCGCGGCATTTTTTTTTTTTTTTTAAAGTTCCGATTTAAAAAAAAAAAAAAATCGGAACTTTTTAAAAAACGCTGTGGGACAAATTGTTCAAAATCGGGACGTCTGGTCACTTTCATTTACTACTACCCGCCAGCCACGCTGGCTCCTTTTCTGGACGCCTTAGGCTTGCGCTGGCCTCAGGACCTTTGCATCTGCTGTGCCTTCTGCTAGGAACTTTGCGTATCCTCTCAAGGGTGGCATCTTCTAATCCCGTTAGGTCTTGCCTCAAATGTCACCTTTTTAGGTCTTTCCTCACCCATAACCCCATCCCTCTTACACTGTTTGGACTACACTTCATAGCTTATGAATTTATCTGCCTGGTTCCTGCCAGTCCTCCCCTGATCCTCTTCCTGAGGGTCCTGAAGGCAGGGACATGGCCCACACCCGGCACTCAGAACAGTGCGTGGCCGGCGCTTGGCAATCAATGAACGCCCTTCTTCTGTGCACTCCCACTGCTGAAATGCAACAGCACAATGCTGCTTCCTCCAGGAAGCCCCCCTGGGTCTCCAAGACTCACTTGCTTGAGCATCTCCTGCTTGGTCTTGCTCAGCTCCTCATACTTTATCTTCCACTGGCTGAGTTCCCCCTCCAGCTTCTCAATGTTCCTGCTCAGTGCCAGCTTATCCCTGGGGAGAGGGGACAGAGAAAGGGAGACATGGGGGGGAGCCCACCGGCGCCCTCTGCTCAGAGTCCTCCTATGCACTCTGCACCTGCAAGACCCCAAGGCCAACATCCTTGCCTCGGCCTTCAAGGTCCTGGCACCCCACACGGTGGCAGGCACCTGGCTGTGGATTTCTCCTGGAACTATGCCCCTCCCACGAGGGCATAGTGTGAGGAAGGGACCAGGCCTCCATGGCACCGACCACCCCTGGCAGGTGCCTCACTCTCCCTGGGCCCCAGGATCATGTGCCAAATACGACCCCGGCTCCTGTTTCATGCACTGTGGTTCCCTGCAAGGCTTGGCTTGAGAACACGGTTCTGCCATTAGAAAAACTGGAAATCGCCGAAACCGGTTTGGCTCAGTGGGTAGAGCGTCGGTCTGCGGACGGAAAGGTCTCAGGTTCGATTCCGGTCAAAGGCATGTACATTGGTTGCGGGCACATCCCTGGTAGGGGGTGTGCAAGAGGCAGTCGGTTGATATTTCTCTCTCATCGACGTTTCTAGCTCTCTATCTCTCTCCCTTTCTCTCTGTAAAAAAAAAAAAAAATCAATAAAATATATTTAAAAAAAAGAAAAAGAAAATAAAAAGAAAAACACGGTTCTGCCATTAGAAAAGCTGGAAATCACTGTCCAATGACCCTCGGATCTAGGGGTCCCCTCTTGCCACCACCACTGGGTGGGATTCCCAAGTTCTCTCCCATGACCCTGTGCATGAATGAGAAGCCACGGGTAACAAGCACAGTGCCTGGCACCAGCACATAGTACGTGCTCAACTAACAGCTGCACTTTCTGTTTCATGCTGCGCTTCCCCATCCCACACCACGCCCGGCTCCGGTGCTGAGGGTCTAGCGCAGTGTGCTGAGAGGAGACAGCGCCACCCTCTAGGAGGCATGTTAGAAACCCATGGGGATGTTTTTGGTTGTCATGGTGACAGGGTCATGTAGTGGGCAGGGATCAGGGGTACCTGATACCTGGCAGTGCCCAGGACATCCTGCCCATCTAAGGATTTACCCTGCATCTGGTAATGTGTACATGACATCCCTGGGGGTGAAAAGGATCTAGAACCTCGCTCTGATTTGCATATTACATATTATCTGAATTAATCTCTCTCTATAAAAGCCTAAGCGATTATTATGACTGGCTGGTAGCTATGATATCACTGACCACCAGGGGGCAGATGCTCAACACAGGAACTGTCCCCTGGTGATCAGGGCACTCCTACAGCCAACCTCCTACAGTCTCTCCCCCCAAGCCTGCTGGCCCCAATGGCCCCAATGGCCGGCCAGGCCGAGGGACCCCATCCGTGCATGAATTTGTGCACCAGGCCTCTAGTAGTAATAATAATAAAATAATAATAATAGAAAACTAGCATGGGGTCCTTGGGCAGAGCACACTGCTCTAATGCTGCAGGATTCAAGCCCAAATAGAACCCCTCCTCTTCAGCAAGCCTCACGCTCTGGGTCACTGATGTTCATATTGTGGTGCTGAGTGTTTCTGCCCTCTCCCCCCGCACCTGTCTGCCCCTTCCCCCTGGCACCTGTCTGCCCCCAGCACTCACTCTCGTTCCTTGAGCAGCACCTTCTGGGACTCATCCAGCCGCAGGCGGAGGGCCGTCAACTTGGAGGCCTCCTCCTCCATGGCCCCTGTGTCCTCCCAGGGCAGGCGGCTGCGCTCCTGGCGGCCCGAGCTGCCCCGCGGGCCCCCGGTCCCCGCACTGCGTGTCTCCCAGCAGCCCTCGGGCTCCTCTGCTCTGCTCTTCAGCAGGCTCTCCGCCAGCTCCAGCTCCTGCGGGGACCAGTGGCAGCTGAGTCCTCGTGGCCTCTCCCAGGCCCTGGGTCTGGAATCAGCTGGAGGGTGAGTGTGGGCAAGTCACACAGTCCTTCTGGGCCCCAGATCGTTGTTTTGCAGCCTAGAAAGACCCACAGCCTCCTCTGGGCCTCCCCTTTCTCCTGGAACTGCACACGAGTCAGCCACCAGGGTTCCCTGCATCCTGGAAGATTTCCCAGGAGAGGTAGTGAGCTCCCTGTCGCTGTAAGTATGCAAACACATGGTGGGGCATTGGTGTGGATCAATGCAGACGTAGGGGATTCCTACAACGAACAGGAACTAAATTTCTCCAACAGGAATTCTGGCTTTAAGATCCCGTTTTCCAGGTGCAAACACTAAGGCACCATGAGACAGGTGACACGGCAGAGCTGAACAGCAAGGCGGCCCTGTGAGCAGAACCAGCTCCCAGACAGGAAGCTGCGAGAGATCATTAACCCAAGGCCAAGCCCCTGAGCCCTCTGCCTCCCTGCCCTGCCCCTGTCCACCCCCAAGGCCTGCCTTGGCCACAAACCCCAGACACCCCGGTCCAGCCTGCCTTCCCCAAGGCCTCTCCGGGCGAGGGGGCCACTCCCTTCCCTGTCTGGCTTTTAGACTGGGACAGTGGCTCTGAGGACTGCCCAAGGAGTGAAATTCTACTCCTGTATCTCGGACTATGGGTGGGGGTCTCAGGTGCCACCTGGTCCAATGCCCTATGATTTTTGAATCTCTCTCAAAAAAAATCGGGACTTTTTTAAAAACGCCTCGGGACGCGGGACACGTTGTTACAAATCGGGGCTGTCCCGCCCAAAGCGGATGTCTGGTCCCCTTACTCTTAGGGCACCAGGCCCTTCCCATTCCTGGCTCCAGGCGGGGCATCCTCCACCTCTGCCCACCTCCGCCAGCCTCTCCCCCTTCGGGACCCCAGGGCCAAGGCCAGGCCCCTGCCCGGCAGCCCCGCGGGCCTTCTCCACGCACCTGGCTGCTCTGGGGCCTCTCGGACCCGACGTCGCGCACCGGCGGCTCGTGCTCCCGCTCGGGCTCCGTCCCGGGTCCGTCGGGGGGCGCCGTCGGGTCGGCGGCGGCCCCCCGGGCGCCCCGCAGCCGCGCCAGCTCGCGGCCGCGCGCCTCGCACTCGCCCTGCGCCTCCTGGCGCTCCCGGCGCGCGCCCGCCAGCTCCTTGGTGAGCGCGTCCAGGCGCTGGCGCAGCTGGCGCACCTCCTCGCGCGCGCGGTTGCGCTCGGCGCGCACCTTGCTCCACTTCTCGCGCCAGTTGGCGGTGCAGTCGGACCACCAGCGCATGGTCTTCTCCATCTGCGCCGCCCGCGCCCGCGCCTCCTCCAGCTCCCGCAGCCGCAGCTCCTCGCGGCCCTCCCAGTCCCCGTCGGCGGCCAGCAGCGCGGGCGCCGGCGGCAGCGGCAGGGACAGCGCGGGGGACGGCCCGGGGGACGGGGTGCCGCTGGGCGGCGTGGGCGGCAGCGAGTCCGCCGCCGGCCCCATGCGCTCCGGGGACGGGCTGCCCAGAATGGTCAGCAGGCTGCCCTTGGACAGCTGCGGGGACTCGGCCAGCCGGGGGCTCGGCCCGTGGCTCATGGCGCCAGCAGGACTGGAGGGCCCTGGACTTGAACTTGGGGCTGGACTCAGGGGCAGCGAGGGGGACGTCCGGCAGATGCGATGCCGCTGCGCATGATGACACGGCTGCTACCCACGGCTCTGCGGGCCTCACCGGGTGGGGGATGCCTCCTGGGACCTGTGGGAGGGGGGGCACACCGTTAGCAGGCTGCGGCACCACCTGTCCTTGTCCATAACAGCAGCCACCGGAAGGGCATAACAGTCAGAGGGAACAGCGAAGCAACGGATAGAGAGAATGGTCTGGGCCGGGAGAATCCCTGAGGCTGGAATGGTGAGCAAGGGCCTGCAGCCGCTTCCTCACGGGTCTCCAGACTCTCTGCTTTCATCCCTTCAACCTGCAGCAATGGCTGCTGATCTGCAGCCTTGGTCTGCTGTTCCCGACCTTCAGGTCCCCTCTCACACACTGAGCAGCTACGGCTCTCCCACCTCCATCCCGAACACAGCATGCTTCCACGCTGGCCCTCCTGCCTCTTCCTACACGGAGCCAGCTCTTCTCATCCTTAACACTTACCTGAGGAATCATCTCCTCCTGGAAGTCCTTCTGGACCATCTCAGGTCCTGACCCCTGTCTGCTCCCCATTCTCACCCCAGCCTGCAGTTTGCTGGGGCCAGAAGCTGGTTCCCGGCCACGGTTTTAGTCTTGGCACGTGATGGCAATGACACCTGTGGAGGGCCCACTACCACTGACTTGAGAGAAAGGACTGACATTTACTGCAGAGGACAGGGAGCCTCCGCAAGGTTAAGACCCAGAGCTGACAGATGTGGTAACTGGGAGTCCAAATGCCAACACTGGGGAGGGTTTGGTGATCCAGGCGCGCTCTGGTGGTACGATGGAGGTCCACCAGTGCCTGTTAGATGCTGAGGGCGCAGCGAGGTGTCAGGCTCTGCTATTCGGAGGCCACGTCCCCTTTAAAATAAACCAGACCCATGGCCCTCTCTGTCCATAACCTGCCACCTTCTCCCTCCACGTGGCCTCCTCCTGACCGCCTCCAGCAGCCCATGGAGACATGGTGACCGTCCCTCCCCACTCAGCTAGCCCGTCCCGCCCACCAGCCCCTGGGGCCCACCCTGATCTCTGCCCCTTCCTTCTCAGAGTGACCAATCAGAGCCCTGCTCAACGCTGACTGGTCCCCTCTCCCAGTCACCAACCCCTCCCTCTGGGCAGGTGATCGGATGTCAGTGAAAAGGTAAGCTGCCAGATTGGCATTCCCTCCCTGCACTGCCCCAGGCCCCAAAGTCCTCTCTTCTCTGTCCTTAGCAAGGTAGTTGCTTTAAGTGCAGTCTCCGGGCCCCTACCGAGCCAAGTGCAGGAGACAGGAGGCTGGGAACTGGGTTTTCAGAGTCCAAGTTCAGGGCGTTTGGGTATTTTGGTGCCTTGTCACCGCCCATGTGTCCATACACACACATGCATGCGTCTCAACCCCAGGGATCCCTGCACAGAGTCATGACTGCACAAAGCCATGCCCCCAGACACGGCCACGCAGGTGCGGTTCCATGTCCCAGAATGCCACGGACGCCCCCAAAGGATCCCTGGCAGGCTGATACCCTCTCTGTGACTCAGTCTCTCCACCGGGGCAGTGAGGCAGCTGGCTGTGACCCCATGTGTGTTCACGGGCAGCTGTGCACACTCAGGCACATTTGACCCCCCACCCATACACACAGACACAGATACAAAGAGACACAGGCAGGCACACGCACACTCAGAGAGGGGCATGAGGCACGCACAACTCTACAGACCCACAGAGAGAGGCCCACCTGTAGAGTCCCGGACACACGTGAAGACACACACATGCCAATACACGGATGGATACACACAGAGACATGCACAGACACTCATTGCTAAGGGGATGCACACACACACACACACACTCTCTCTCTCTCTCTCACACACACACACACACACACACACACACACACACACACACACAAACATGCACACGGACACTCACTCTCCTCTCCCCATTTTCCTGGCCAGACTCCTCGGGAGAAGCTCTTGGAAGAGAAAAACAATGCGAGAGCCTGCCTGCGGGGGCGGGGAAGGAGGCAGGAAACCCAAGTGCCAGCCAGGCAGCCTGGGCTGTGCTAGACATGGGGGATGGGGGGGAGGTTTGGGGGTCCTGGGGCCCAGGCCCTGTCTGCCGGGCCCTTCCTGCAGCCCCCACACTGAGAGGGTCACAGGGCAGGGCCACTGCCAAGGCCTGGCCTCCCCCCCCCCCCGCCCCCGCTGCCTCTGGGAGGTGCCAGGCCTGTTGTGGCTCAGCAGGGCGGGGATGGCCTGCTCCTTCCAGGAATCCCCAGCCGGTCGCCGAAGGGGCAGGGCGGGCACCACCCAGGCCCCTCATGGCTTCCAGGCGCCGTGCTAAAGGCAGCCTGGTCTGGCCCTACCTGGGGGCTGGGGGCTGGGAGGGGAAGGAAGGACAGCAGCAGGGACGAGGGGCTCTGAACAGCCCTCCTGCTCTTCCTCCAGTGGCCCAGTGGCCCCCCGGGGGTGCGTATGCCCACGTGTGGGAAGGAGTGGGGCCCGGGTCCAAGGTTGGTTTTCTGGAGAAGCCCATCCCCTAGCACACCAGGAACCCTGCAGGCCCACAGATTCAACCCAGATTCAACCGGACCTTGCCCATCGCACCCCTCTCCTCCCTCCCCCCCACAGCACAGCCTTGGGGACAAAAGCTCACACAGAGCCTGGTAACGCAACCCCCAACACACAACACAGTCCAGCCTGGCTGCAGGGACAGGCTCTGGCGGCCCTGCCCGCCGCCCTCACCCGCCAGACTCTGTGGCTTCCTCCCACTGCTGTGCCCGGGTGGCTTCCTGATTCCTCTGGGCCAGTGGTCGGCAAACTCATCAGTCCACAGAGCCGAATAGCAACAGGACAACGATGGACATTTCTTTTGGAAAGCCAAATTTTTTTAAAACTTAAACTTCTTCTGACGCCACTTCTGTATTTTGTGGAAGAGCCACCCTCCAGGGGCCAAAGAGCTGCGTGTGGCTCGAGAGCCGCAGTTTGCCGACCACGGCCCTAGGTGGTCATCGCACCTCCAGGAGCAGGTCCAGGAGGTTCCAGCCCCTGCAGACCGCAGACACTCCCTCACTCCACCTTCCCTCTCCTGCTTCCTGCCAGCCAGATGGGTCTACTCCTGCTCTAACCCTCAGACTCTGAACCCTCCCCCACCCCCCGCTCCTTCAAGCTCAGTCCCATCACCTCCAGGAAACGCCTTCACCTTCCCAGCCCCCCACCCCCCGCCCAGGGAGCACAGCCCCACAACCCTCCGCCGCCAGAGCTGGCCAGCTGCCCGCTTCTTGCAGCTCTGGCTTCTGCCTATCCAGGCGGGACTCTTGTGCCACCCAGAGCTTCTAGGACTGGTCTGGCATCGAGGGCCAGCTTCAGGCTGGGAGGGTGGAGAGCAGAGGCCGACCTGTGACCTGTGTGCCCTTAGCTGGGCCACAAGGCTGAGTAGGACCCGGAGCTCCCGAACCCCAGCCCTCAGCTACCCTCGCCGCTCCAGATAGCTGCTGGCCACTCGGGCACGGAAGCAAGGATGTTTTCACAGGATGCTTGCCTCAGGCTAGGATCGGGTTTGTCTACAGGAAGTGATCAGTGGTTGCTGCTGCCTTCGGACAGGTCTGGAATGTGTCTCCCTAGTTTCTCCACCAGCAAACTCCTGCACATCCTTCAAGACCCACCTTCCGTTCCCACTCGGCTGGGACGCCTTCCCTGACCTCGTTCATGCACAGATGACGGGAACGAACCCAAAGCACTGGCACCTCCCTGTTTTTCGGCAATGGCCACATGGTGAAGCTCACAAGGGCTCCTGGGTCTTGCTGGCTGCCAGCACTGGCCCAACAAACAGCAGGCGCTGCATAAATGCTTCCCGGGCTAAGGATGAAAGACGGACAGGTGCGCCGAAGCCGGTTTGGCTCAGTGGATAGGGCATCGGCCTGCGGACTCAGGGGTCCCGGTTCGATTCCCGTCAAGGGCATGTACCTTGGTTGCAGGCATATCCCCAGTGGGGGGGTGTGCAGGAGGCAGCTGGTTGATGTTTCTCTCTCATCGATGTTTCTAACTCTCTATCTCTTATCCTCTCTGTGAAAAAATCAATAAAATAAAATAAAAATTAAAAAAGAAAAAGAAAAAGATGGACAGGTGGGAGTCCCCCTGCGACCAGGGCGAGTGGAGTCATCCTAAGGATCAGGAGTCACTCTGTGGCAGGCTCGGAGGCATGTAGGTGTCCGAGCCTGTCTGTGGCCAAGGTCAGGGTCAGAGGTTATCTTATGGCTAAGTCGGTGGTCAGGCCTCTTATCTGAGGGAGCTGAGGGCCCACAGAGGGTCAACGCGGTGTTTTGTCCTCAGCCTGTTTAGATGACTCTCAGTCTCCAAAGAGGGGAGGGAGCCACGCTGAAGCCCGGATGGGGGTCAGTTGGGGGGTGGGACTAGGGGTGTGCCTGGTGGTCCCACACCTTCCTCCGGCTCAGAAACCCCCTCTGTCCTTCCAGAGCCTTTCAGGTGGCGCTCTGGGCCTGGCCCGGGGCCACGGGCCTGGCTGTGGGCAGGGAGCAGAGCCCAGCAGGAAACCGCAGAGGACGGCCTGATTGGATAAGTGCAGGGGCCCAGGCTGGTCAGCCACAAATTGTGGGCACCTGTCCCTCTGACCTGCTGCCTGGGCTGTAGCCACTGGGCCTCCAGGAGAGGATGGAGGGAGGCACGGGGCCCTGGCCCTTGGAGTGGGCACCCTTGGACTGGCTCAGATGCCCCCATGTTAGACGGAGGAGCCACAAAGAGAGCCCGGGTCACTGACTATAACATTTCTTTACAAATGGCCCCTCTGAGGCCCAGGGGGGCAGCTGCTCCCCACATCCACATAGAGGACCAGCAGCAAAGTAGGGGGGGCGGGAGGATGTTGGGGCAACCTCTACCATGGGGTCCTCATGCATCTGGCCAAGTGGCCAACCATAGCTGGTAT